CCCCTGCTGTCTTCCAGAAACACTCTCGCTGAGCATCACAAGCAGACTTTACTAACAGCATCTTCTCCCCACACCCTGGTTGGAAAGAGAGATCCACCTAATGGGATGGCTCTCAGGTGCCTTTCAAAGGTGACCTCATTGACCCTCACTACAACCCGATAAGTAGATATTATGATCCCCATTTCACAGAAGAGAAAACGGAGGCTCAGAGAGGTTAAATAGCTTCTAAGGTCACGTTGCCAAGAAGTGACAGAGCTGAAATTAGTACCCAGGTTTGTTTGATTGCGAAGTTCTGACAGCCTTTGGGATTCCCCAAGCCCCTGGGAGAAACTTCACTTTTCAGTGTTTCCAGGGCTCCTCTGGAAAAGATAGCATGGTGACAGTTCCCCAGCCTCCCTTGTCTCCAGGGTCTCCTGAAAGAAGGGAGAAGGAAGGCTCCATGTGAGATTAACCTCCCCCTCCCCATTTCTTCCAGGGGACCCCCAGTGGCAACCCCACAGGGACTTCTCTCAGGACGGTCCAGGGCTAACAAGCATCTCTTCCCTTTTAGGATCCCTTACCTTTCCCTTGGTTCTCCTGAATTTTTTGTTTTATCTCAAGACCAATGATTGTTAATCTTCCCCCAACTACTCTCAGTGCATGGAGGGACCATTCTACGGAGGAGACAGACTTTGAGGAGAACCAAGGGGAAGTGTCCTCTTCAGTTTAGCTGGTGGACAATCAGGAATTCGCTGTCTTGGAGATGTTGGGTACATCCCAGCTGGGGGAGGGGAGTCATGGCCAAGTGCCTGAAGGCTGAGCCATCCTGCCTTGGGTGCCACCCATGAGCCACTCCCTTCTGAGCCCTCGATGCGGTGTGTTTTAGGATCCACCACCATTGGAACGATGAATGAGCCCAGTTCTCAGCGCTCACACAGCCACACCAGGAAGGGGCAGGTATGCTGTAGGGTGCGTGGGTTAGGAGCGGGGAGGAAAAGCTGCACAAGGTGGCCAGAGATGACACAGTAGACTCAAGGTGAGAGAGTGGTGGCCTACACGAGGAGGGAAGGAGAGGAAAGGAAACCAGGGAGCGGTGGGTGTAAGGGAACCAGGGATGAGAAGGTGGGCAATAAAGGAAGGGGAGATACTGTAGGGTGTCCTGCAAAGAGTAGGAGTTCCAGAGTCTAACAGATACTGTGCCACTTCCTGCTTGTGTGACCTTAGACCTCAGCTTCTCCGGGGTGTTTCATCTGTAAAATAGAGATAATCATCATTCCTAACTCAGAAGGTTATTATAATAATAAAATAAAATAATTCATTTTAAGCCCTAAATTGAGGTCTTGGCATAGCAAGTATTTTTACAACTTGTTAACGCTCTTCTTCCAGCATCTAAGATTTTATCCTTTTCCTCCTTTCGATTTTCCTAAGCCTCAAAGTGGCAAGTAACTCCAGGGCACGGGGTGGGGGCTCTGGATTTCCCACATCTCACCCCCGTCATACTGGCCACCCAGTAGTTGGGGGATCCTGTGAAAATGGCGGGCAGTGGCTACAGGCTTCCTTAAACTTCCTGTTAGCGTTAGCTTCTGTTCATTCCTCCTCTGCCTGCAACATCTCCTGATTCTATTCTTTTTTTTTTTTTAAATTTTTATTTATTTATTTATGGCTGTGTTGGCTCTTCGTTTCTGTGTGAGGGCTCTCTCTAGTTGTGGTGTGCAGGCCTCTCACTATTGCGGCCTCTCTTGTTGCAGAGCACAGGCTCCAGACACGCAGGCTCAGTAATTGTGGCTCACGGGGCAGGCTGCTCCGCGGCATGTGGGATCTTCCCAGACCAGGGCTCAAACCCGTGTCCCCTGCATTGGCAGGCAGATTCTCAACCACTGCGCCACCAGGGAAGCCCTCTATTCTTTTTTTTTTTAATACTTATTTATTTGGTTGCATGGGGTCTTAGTTGTGGCAGGCAGTCTCCATAGTTGCAGCATGTGGGCTCCTTAGTTGCAGCACATGGGCTCCTCAGTTGTGGCACATGAACTCTTAGTTGCGGCATGCATGTGGAATCTAGTTCGCTGAGCAGGGATCGAACTCGGGCTCCCAGCATTGGGAGCACAGAGTCTTATCCACTGTGCCACCTGGGAAGTCCCATCCTGAATCTATTCTTGCCTCTCTGTCTTCAGGATGGAAACCCTTTGGATATACTGAATGTGGGGAAACAGTCCACCAGAGCTTAAACAGAGGAGATTCCACACTGGAGAAAATTCATTTCCATCTGCCTCCACAGGCCGCGAGCACACTTCTCCTAGACCAGCTCCCTCACCAGTCTTTCCTTCCCCTTAGACTCTCCCCACCTCGTTTCCCTACAGCTTATCCCACCCAGTGTGTCAGGGTGGGCAAAATCTCACTGAAGAACTTCCAGAGGGGCTTCCCTGGTGGCGCAGTCGTTAAGAATCCGCCTGCCAATGCAGGGGACACGGGTTTGAGCCCTGGTCCGGGAAGATCTCACATGCCGCGGAGCAACTAAGCCCCTGTGCCACAACTACTGAGCCCGCGTGCCACAACTACTGAAGCCCGCGCACCTAGAGCCCGTGCTCCTCAATGAGAGAAGCCACCGCAATGAGAAGCCCGCGCACCGCAATGAAGAGGAGCCCCCGCTCGCCGCAACTAGAGAAAGCACGCACGCAGCAATGAAGACCCAATGCAGCCAAAAATAATAAATAAAATAAATATATTTTTTAAAAACTTAAAAAAGAAAAGAACCTCCAGAGACGGCCCACTGCCTACCAAATTAACGGCCAGAGCCTTACTTTGCATTCTTTCATCTTCCATCTTGAATGATAATTATTGTTGACTGGTTCTGTGGTCCCCACTAGATAGTAAACTACTTCACAGAGAGATTCAACTGTTCTTTACAGCAGTAATTAACACAACATTGTAATTCAACTATACTTCAATAAAAAATAAATTTAAAAAAAGGTTCAACTGTTCATCATTCAACAAATATTTATTAAGTACTTCTTTTACGCCAGGCGCTGTTCTAGATGCTGGGGATACATCAGGAAACGGACCAAGCAAAAACCCCTGCCCCCAGGGAGCTTACATTCTACTTCGGGGGTGGGGTGGGGGACAGAAAATAAACTATAAAAGTTATAATAAATAAATAAGTAAATTATATACTATGTTGGAAGAAACTTGCTATGTGAGTTTTAATTACTTTGGAATTCATTCACATTATCTTCATATAAAAATACTCAAGTAGGGCTTCCCTGGTGGCGCAATGGTTGAGAGTCCGCCTGCCAGATGCAGGGAACATGGGTTCGTGCCCCGGTCTGGGAAGATCCCACATGCCGCGGAGCGGCTGGGCCCATGAGCCATGGCCGCTGAGCCTGCGCGTCCGGAGCCTGTGCTCCGCAACGGAAGAGGCCACAACAGTGAGAGGCCCGCGAACCGACCGCAAAAAAAAAAAAAAAAAAAATACTCAAGTAATTTTTAAAAATTGTATTCTGTTCAGTTTGGATAGGGCAAAGTCCTGAGACTTTGGACGGTGATGACGTTTGGTGCCCCCAGGGCTGGAAGGGCGTGGGTCCTGAACCCTAAGGATGGAGCAAGACGGAGCAGGTGCTAACCATCAAGCCCTCTCTAGAGCAGCAGGAGGTGAGGGCTCTAACCCGCCAGATGGAGGAAAGCCCGACTTCACGGCTATCACTGAGGAATCTGGGTCAGTTCTCCGGTTTGGCCACCAGGGGTCATTTTACCCTTGTAAATCACCATCTGGAGCGATCACGTAAAGACACACAAAAGTCTTAGTCCGAACTAAACACACAGAGACACAGCCGGGAAAACTCTGACACTGTCACAACCACACACACGCACATACACAGAAACATACATCATTGAGAGACATAGGGACAGAAATGCATGCAGGACGTCTGCATGGCATCAACTCCCTCACGAATCTCACGAATGTCAGGGTCTCAAGATGTCACAGTGCCAACTCCGCCATTCCTCCCAGCCCCGACTCCGCTAAAGAGGGAAGACAGTAGGCGGCCTGTAAACCAGACTTCCATTTCCTTACCTCCAGCTTGCCAAGAGCAGTCAGCTTACTCCCGTCCTCCCGTCCATCACACTCTTACTTTCCCATAAACTTCTTGTCTGGCTCTGGCACAGCTCCCTTTTCCCTGCCCAGAGAAGCCCTCCACCTCCTCCTGAGTATCTGTGCAACTAGTTCCAGCCCCACCTCCCACTGCAGCTCCAGGAAGCCCCAGGTGGTGTTCACTGGGTGTGCAACTCCTCCCCCCCCCCCGCCCCGAAAACCCCAAGCCTTACGGACTACAATTAGCAATTGATTTGCTGAGCATTGCCCTCTCCTTGCAGCGATAAAAGCAATGTACATAATGGCCTGGGAAGACTTTACACATGACTCTAATACTCCAGTACAGGTATGGCTCTCCAAGTGTGATCTGAGGATGGATTCTTTGAGGAAGTCCACGAGAACAAAACCGTTTTCATGATACTACTACTAAGATGTCTTTTGTCCTTTTCACTCATTGTCTCACGAGTAGACGGTGGAGTTTTCCAGAGGCTTCATGAAGTGTGATGACACTTGCTCTCATAGCTATTGGAATGTGTGCTTGGGTATTTCTGTTTTAGAAAACTTACTATTTTTGATTTCTAATATGGTCATGTATCAAAAGGACAAAGTATAAGCAAACTCTCTTTGGAATTCTCCATTTTTAAGAGTGTAAAAGGGTCTGAGACCCCAAAATTGGAGAACTACTACTTTAGTACAGAGAATGTTCTCCTTATTCTAGACGAAGCAGCAGAGACACACACACACGGTGGTGGTGGTGGGGATTTACGATCTAGAATGGAGGAGCTTTTGAAAGGGTGGGTGAGGTGGAAGGGGAAGGCAGGACCTAGAAAGGGGAACAGTGACCAGGAACTCGGAGGAAAACCCCCTCTGCCCCCACCCACCCACGCTGGGCGTCAGACCTAAATTGTTAAAAGTCACTAGACAAGAAGGAAACCAATTCAGCCGGCATCCAATACGCTTTTACATTACGCCTCAGTGCTGGGCAGGCAGAGCCCAGGTGGAAAGGGGAGTGGGTGGCGTCCATGGCCCAAAGACCTCTGTGGTCGGTCTAAACGCAGGACACCCATCTTCTGCTCCAGCTACCAGCTACGGGCCGGGCCGTGTTTCATGCCCCGCCAAGGGCATTTCATCCAGTCTCCCGCCTCTGCACGGGCAGGCTCACGGCAGCACTTCCTAGGTACTAAGGAAGAGGTCCTTCTGCGCTCGCCATCACCACCTAGTTAAAGACGTTTGCAGCCGCGCTCTTCCCTCCCCGGGCCCCTGCCCCCCACACTTTGTTCCCTTCTGCATCTGTGAGCTGGAGCTGCCGCTCAGAAGTCCAAGTGCCCAACCCACCGCCCTGCTGTGCACACACCCTGCGTGTCTGCGAGTGCGAGAGACGTGGGGGTGGGGTGAGGGGACCGCGCTCTGGCACGACGTGCGTTCAGAGGGACGAGTCCTCGGAGCACCGGGTGAAGGAGTCCCGGGGGTCGGAGGGCCGGAGCAGCCCCTGGCTGGCGGCGGCCGGCACGGTGGCGTGGGAGGTCTCAGCGGTTGGTTCGGCGAGTGCCCCCCGAGCCCCGTTGGTGGCCGAGGTCCTGGCCCGGAGCGGAGAGCTCAGGCTGCGCAGGGTGTTGCGGAAACCCTCGGCGCTGAAGTAGTACACCAGCGGGTCGAGCACGCAGTTGGCGCCGGCCAGCAGCACCATGACCATCAGCACCCCGCGCACCTGGTTGCGCGCCGCCGGGCTGGCCAGCACCACGTGGCCGCGCAGCAGCCCGTACACGGCCAGCGTGGCGTTGTAGGGCACGAAGCACACCAGGAAGATGACCAGGCTGGCCAGCAGGAGGCGCACCGTCTTCTGCCGCCGCTGGCTCCGCGTGGCGTCGGGCCGCGCCAGGCTGCAGAAGACACGGACCGAAGAGTAGACCACGGCTACCAGGGGCAGCAGGAATCCCAGCGCCTCGGCTAGCAGCAGGAGCGGCAGCAGCCTGCCCTTCCACAGCTCGTCGCTGAAGTTCTCGAAGCACAAGTGCACCCAGCGGCCGTCGCGGGCGCAGGGTGAGGGCCGGTGCACCAGGACGGTGGGCACGGCGAACAGCAGGATAAGCGCCCACACGCCCAGGCAGAGCAGCCGCGCCACGCGGGGCCGCCGCAGGTGGCGCAGCCGCAGCGGGTGCACGATAGCGACGTAGCGGTCCACGTTGATGAGGGTCAGGAAGATGCAGCTGCCGTACATGTTCATCTGGAAGACGGCGCCCGCCAGCTGGCACAGGAGGTCCGAGAAGGGCCAGTAGTGCTGCGCATAGTAGGAGAGGCGCAAGGGCAGCGACAGGGTGAAGAGGAGGTCGCTGGCCGCCAGGTTGCACATGTACACGCTCACTACCGAGTGCACGCGCAGCGCGTGCAGGAAGACCCAGAGGGCCAGCGCGTTGAGGGGGAGCCCTGCCGCCAGCACCAGGCTGTAGACCACCAAGTGCAGGTGGTGGATGGGCTGGTGGTCCGGGCACCTGAGATCAGAGTCGTTGGCCGAGAAGTTGGCCAGCATCGTGCCAAAGGGCGAGGAGGAGCTAGGCCGGGAGCATCAGGGGGCGCACCCGCGTGCTGGCTTCGCGTTCATCTCCAGTCTCCACGGCGGGGGCCTGGAGGCTGCACAGAGTCCCAGAGCAAGCGGGGGCCGGGCATAGACTTGTGGCTGTGGCTGCAGGGCCGACAGCTGCGGAGGATCAGATGCCCTTGGTCAGAGCTTCATCGGCCTCAGTGGAGACCTGGCATAGGAGGGAAGGCAGAAGTCAAGACTGTGCAAGGAAGGGCTGAAGACACAAATGTCATATAGCTGAACCTGCTGGCCTCTTGGGCCTTTTCTCAGCCTCACATCTTTCCTCCACCGTCCTTCTGGCCAGAACAGCTTTCTGCAGCCCGCTCTATGGCACAGTGCTCTAGAGTCAGGCCTGCCTAGGTTTAAATCTGGGCTTTTGTCCTCAGAAAAGTGACTTAATCTCTCTGCCCCTCATTTTCCTTACCTGGAAAAAAAAAAAAAAAAAAAAAAGGAGAGGGGCCCCTACTTCACGAGGTCGTTAGATTCAACGAGATGATATATTTAAAGTGCTTTGCTTACTGTTATTATCTACTAATATCTCTCCCTTGCTTCCTTTCTTTCTTCTACAAATGCTTACCAGGATTTTAATTATTATTATTATTTTGGCCTCGCGGCATGCAGGATGTGGAATCTTAGTTCCCCGACCAGGGATCTAGCCTGTGCACCCTGGAGTGGAAGCCCGGAGTCTTAACCACTGGACCACCAGGGAAGTCCATACAAATGCTTACTGAGACTTTAGAAGGTTCCAGGCATGTTCACAGCAGTGGACAAAACAAAGGCCTTGCCCCCACCTATGTTCCCTTCCATTGAAGGGATACAGATAATAAAGTCCATGTAAAAAGGTATTATGTTAGGTGGTGAGAAGTACTGTGGAGCCCCTCCCCTGGCACCAGCCCGTTCCGCTGACTCCCCATTATCTAAAGAATAAAGTTCAAACTCCCAAGTACAGGACAAAATCCCAGGCTCATCTCCACGATTGCTCCTGTGTGGGCTGGGTTTGTGGTCAGAGCGACCTGGTTCAGCTGGATTGTTTGACCTCCCTAAGTTTCCTCATCTGTAAAATGGGGACAGTAATATAATGGGGGTCCCTTAGGCCAGGGGTCACCAACCCCCGGCCCACACAGCAGGAGGTGAGCGAGCGAAACTTCATCTGTATTTACAGCCGCTCCCCATTGCTCACATTACCACCTGAGCTCTGCCTCCTGTCTGCATTTTGGTGGGTTGTATAATTATTTCATTACATATTACAATGTAATAATAATAGAAATAAAGTGCACAATAAATGTAATGCTCTTGAATCATCCCGAAACCATCCCCCCACCCCGTCCATGGAAAAATCGTCTTCCACAAAACCGGTCCCGGGTGCCAAAAAGGTTGGGGACCGCTGCCGTAGGCTGATCGCACACACCAGCACAGTCCTTCCAGGCAGGGGACGGCCCCGTGGGTTGAACTTTTCCAGGTGCTCCCCTGGAGAGTCTGACTCGGGTGCTTCCTAGTTGGGATTCCGTGATGGGGGCAGATAATGGTTTCGTCCTAAGGGCTCGAAGGGGGCCCAGAAAGGGTGGCAGTGAGACAGGGAAGTACCGTGCGTGCTGATGAGGCTCCTGGAGAGAGCAGACCACAGCCGCTGCCGTCCCCAGGCAAAAGCTGCCAGAGGAAGGATGTGGTCAGAGGCGGAGGAGTTAGAAGACAGGACTTGGTCTTAGGATTCCACCTTCCTTAATGTCATAAGGCCACAGCAGCCACCCCTGCATTGCGACCCCCAGGTGCCATCGTGTTGTAAAATATACATAACTTAAAAATTACCATTTTAACCATCTTTAAGGGTACAATTCAGTGACATTAAGTACAATCGCAATGTTGTGTAACCATCGCCACTATTTCCAGAACTTTTTCATCATCCCAAACAACAACTCTATACCCATTACCCAATAACTGCCCATCCCCCCTCCCTCCAGCCGCTGGCAACCTCTATTCTACTTTGTGTCTCTCTGAATTTACCTATTCTAGACACCTCATCTGAGCGGACTCATATATCTGTCCTTTTGTGTCTGGCTTATTTCACTTAGCTTAAAGTTTTCAAGGTCCGTCCATGCGGTAGTTTGTATCAGAATTACAGTCATTTTATGGCTGAATAATACATTCCTATATATATACACCACATTTTGTTCTCCCATTCATCTGCTGATGGTTACTTGGGTTTTTCCATCTTTTGACTATTGTGAATAATGTTAATGATCATGGGCTTCCATGGGCCATCTTAGGGAGAGAAGTTATCCGAAGACCCTGAGCGATTATCCCAAGATACGGAACATACTCCCTTCAAAAGGAACCACTTAAATCCTTACATGGAACCAAGTTATAAACATGAGTATAACAAGTTTTCTAGGGTTTTTTTGTTCGTTCGTCTGTTCTCCCTCCAACCATGACTCTGACTCCAGCAGTTTAAGACTTGTAAGAAGCATAGTACAACAGTTGAAGGGAATAAGGAAACACTTTGTCTGCAAAACACCAATTTCGTCAATGAAAATAATGCTAGATGGGTCTTAAACGTGCTGAAAAGCAAGTAACGCCAGGCTCTCTTCCTGAAACGTGCCCACCTCCCATGCTCCTTTGCTCCAGTCACGCCAAACTACTGATAATTCTGCACATACCTTACATCTTCAGGGCTCTGTCTGTGCACGTGCTGTTTCTGCAACTGGGAATGCCCTTTCTCCCATCCTCCAACTGGCAAACTCAATCATTTCTCAGGACCCCATGATGCCTTTCCTGACTCCCTCCCTTCCCACCAGGCGAGTCCCCTCACTGGAGCTTTCCCGGCACTTTGGCCACAGGTCAGCTGTTCCCACCTGTGCTATAATTGGCTGTTCTTGGTCTGCCTCTCCCGCCCGCCTGGGAGCTCCTTGAGGGAGGGCCTGGGGACTGTGACTTACTCATCTCTGTAGTCCCAGCCCTCCCTCCATAAATGTTGGGTCAAAAATAATGGCTACCATTTACTGATCCCTCACCATCTCGCAGGGTGTTACACACGCACGAGCTCTAATCCTTCCAACAGCCCTTTGAGGTAGGAGTTTCTCCTGATTTTTACTGAAGAGCTCAGTCAGTGAGGAGTGAAGTCAGGCCTCAAATCCAGGACATCCGGGCTCCAAAGTCCAAAAAGCTACTTCCAATAAGAGCGGGTGGGTGGGTATGAGGCTGGATGCCGCACAGAGCACCTAACTTTTATAGCTGCTTATATCAAATCTGTGCCCATAGGTGAATCATTTTACTTCCTCTTTTGTCCAGTTGAAACATATACTTTTTAATAACCCACTTCCTTCTTTCTCCCACTTCAAACACTGGCAACACAGACTCATCTCTCTTTCACACACACACAAATACGCCCTGATGATTTCCCCTTACCTACAGAAACAGTTTGCTGCTTTGAACTCCTTAGGTCATGACGTGTGTTTTTGTCCCATTTCCACAGCCAGACAGTAGGGTCCTGGGGTGCAGACCACACCTTCCACAGCTTTCTTCCCAGGCTCACTCACACTTCAGTCTCTCTACCTAGCAGGCCCTTGTGATATTCATTGGCTGCCTTTCAGGAAATCTGCCCCCTCCCCCCATGTCCGCCCAGCCTGTAATCCTGTTATAATATTTCTTGCATCAGTCCAACCACTTCTTATCACATTCCTGACTATCTTGTCCGCATGTATAACTCAGAGAAAGGCATGTCCCTTTTGAAAAGCTCGTTTGGAAACAGCTTGCATTAAAACTTCAATAACAGTTTACAGCTACAATCACAGTAACATTTTATCATTCTTTTTTTTTTTGCGGTACGTGGGCCTCTCACTGCTGTGGCCTCTCCCGTTGCAGAGCACAGGCTTCAGACGTGCAGGCTCAGCGGCCATGGCTCAGGGGCCCAGCCGCTCCGCGGCATGTGGGATCTTCCCAGACCAGGGCACGAACCCGTGTCCCCTGCCTCGGCAGGCGGACTCCCAACCACTGCGCCACCAGGGAAGCCCACGTTTGATCATTCTTAAGCAGTACTTGGAGCACCCATAGCTCCCTACAACTAGGAGGCACATCCTAGACACTGAGTGAATGGAAAATTATTTTCCAAGAATCCCAAGTCTTTCGTCAACAAAGTTGCAAGGTTAAAGAGGCCAAAATGTATTAGGTGAGCTGCTGCTAAAAGGTAGAGAGTTAGGAATCCTTCAGGAAAGCAGATGGTGATGCTCTCGCCTTACTCCATTCCAAAGCGGAGAAGCCCTTGAGTTTAGTTGTCAAAAAGCCACCCCTTTCCCACAGACTCACACAGAATGGCCCAAGCTGTTGAGAGCTGCCAGGCCCCTGCCCTGGTCCCCACCCGATCCGCTTGCTTCCCGAGGGCTCCCCATCAGTGGAGCTGAATGGGCACAGTGCCAGGCCAGATGGCAAAGATGGGAAAAACTGCCAAAAAGGAGGCAAACAAGAAGTGGAAGGAGGGCTCTAGATGTGGGGGAGGAGTGGCACGGCACTCTCCTCAATCCTGCCTTGAGCAAGAGGTCAGGTTGGGGGTGCGGGAGACGGAAAGCAAAGAGGCAGCAGGTGCCCCAGAAAAGCAGAGACACTGGGATTTCATTTCACCAGGGAGAAGGGGGACGTGGAGGCCCACGCTGGCTCCGTAACCTCAGCACGCCCGGAGGTCATGTGAGCACACCACTACACACACACACACATACGGGCGCGTGCAAGGCCACACGCAGGTAAGGGTACACTGAGGGATGTGCACACAAGATCCCTAGTAACATACGAATCAACGTGTATCCACAGCCTGTAACACACGTGTGCACGCATGGAGGCACAGACAGCCGAGCCAGGGGAGGAAAGCAGACACCGTCCCCGCCTAGGGACATTATCCTTAGCCGGACAGACAGACGGGCAGCTTCAGGAGCACACACACGCATGCAGATGTGCACAAACAGATTCCGGCCCCAAGGCACTGAGAGGCAAAGAGAGGCCCTGGGGACGGCCCCGCCCACATCCCAGCCCCCGACACCACACACACGCCAGATGGTGCGCGGCCACCTTCTTCCACGCTGCTTCTCTGTCCTTCAGCTTCCCACCTGCACACCCGGGGCCCAGGTTCCTTATGTCCTCGGGGCCTCTGGGACCTGTCCCATTGCCCTCTGAGCTGGGCTGGGCACTATTCTTTGCTGAGATAAGTCACAGGGGCAGGGCTATTTTCTGCCCTGGCAGGAAGTGAGAATGGAGGATAAAAGTGGCCAGGAGGCTACATCATGATCTTTCCCTTCCTCTCCTCCACACAGCTGGCCCGTGGTGTCCACCCTTCCGGCGCCTGACCAGGGATGCAGAGGGGAGCGGAACAGAAAGGGGTGGGTGATCTGGGACAGAAAGGGAGGGGAGAGAGGCACCCCGTCTCTGTACAGCTTCCTCCTGTCTGCCACCCTCTCCATGTGCTTCCTGCCCCCCTACTCCCCACCTCCTCTCCTCAGGAATCCACATCCTTCAGAAGTTTGGAAAGTGGGAATGTCAATCCTCACCCTCCTTGCCCCAGAAGACCAGCTCTGGAATAGCTCCCACCTTCTTTTAGGTTCTGGTGGCCAGGCGCCAGGGAGCGTGTCCACCCTCCACCTCCCCCGCACGGCGCGCGCTCCCTGACCTGCGACCTGAGCGGTGCTGGCTGAGCCCACTTCCTCTGCCGCTACACCTCGGCAGCCACGGGAAGATGCACCCTTTATCAGCAGACGCTGGTAACTGTGAAGACCTCTTAACGCCTGTAGGTTCAGACTCCCCAAACAGATCCAAACTGTGCTGAGCCTTCAGCGGAAGCTTCAAGAAGTCTAAAGGCTTTGTGAAAACCTCTGTCCCAGGGTTGCTCTGGGTACACATGAATCCTGCCCATCAGCTTGTCCTGGGTCTGGAGAGCCTGTGGGGTGGAGATAGTACCAGGTCACCGGGCTGAGTGGATGGCTTCCTCCTGCCCTCGGGGCCACGTTCTCCCCCGCTGCTGGGTGTCCTATCTTCTCTCCATCCTCCTTCCTCCCTGATCCAGCCTGCTCTGCTTTCTCCAGCCCAGATTCCTGCTCCAGCCTCTCCCCACCCTTCCCCACCTGAGCCTCTCTTCCTGCCTTTCCAGCACCATCCCTGGGTATTCTCATCTCATCCCTCCCGAAATTTTTTCTAGGAAAAGGCAGAAAGCAAAGGCGACCTACAGCTCCATACTTAAGTCTCCCCAGTGCATGGCTGTCACCTCCCCACCTGCAGACATTTCTCCACCCTGCTGTCAAGAGCTGAAAAACACAGGAAACGTAGTCCCAGTCAAGACTCAGATGGGCTCAAGCCACCCTCCGCAGCCCTGTGCTCTGGGTGGTCCTTGCTTTGGGGCCTGGCTGGGTCCCGCTGCCTCAGAGAAACCTCCTGGAGCCTTTGGCTTCATGGACCTCACCCTGACCTCGGGCAGCACTGAGTGTGCTCCACACGTAGCCCTCACGCCTCTGCTGCCCCTTTCCCCGCGGGCCTGGGCATGCAAGGCTTCCATGTTGCAGGGGTACACGCTGGGCTCTGGGGTCTCTGGGTGGCCAGGAGGTGAGGCTTGCGGGTCGAATAAGTTTCTGCTTCCTCCTCAAGCCTTGCTGCCATCTCCCCTTTGGCGACAACTTCAGCTCATCCTGAAGGGACTGCAGATGTGACCTGATGGGAGGGCCCCTTCCCATCAGAGAGGCCCCCATAGACCCGGGGAACAGGTGGGCAGCTGCCCTCAGTGGTGTGAGGCAGAGGTATCAGAAGGCCTCACCCACCCTCCAATATCACCCCCCCTACCCCATGGTCAGTATCTGAAATTTTATCCACTTCATGACACCCATGGGCCACATTCTACCATAGCTCTAGGAACATGGGAGACAGCTGGTCTAATCCTCTATTTTTTTTCTTTTTTTTTTAAACTAATTTTACCAACACTTTAATTTTTATCTTTTATATATATATTTTTGGCCGCGCTGCACAGCATGCGGGATCCTAGTTCCCCAACCAGGGATCAAACCCACACCCCCTGCAGTGGAAGCGCGGAGTCCTAACCACTGGACCGCCAGGGAAGTCCCTAATCTTCTTGTAAAGAAAACGCACTGGGTGAAGGCAGTATCTCTCTAAGGCACCACTAGAACACTTTGGTTCGCTGGGAAGGATAACTGTGAGAGCAGATCTGTGCCTTGAACCCGCCTGTGGAGTTTAATCAGATCAGTTCATTGTCACCAGCAGAGGCCCAGCCCTGGGGTGAGAGGGTCAGTGGTTGTCTTATCTGAGAGTGGGAAAGGGCTGGAAACCATCCCCAGAGGGCTCTCCCTCCCCAGTGGCCTGGGATCTGGGGTTCAGCATGACAGCGGGGGCCTAACGGGTGAAGGGGCAGACGCAGCTCCCAGGCATACGGGCCCCAGGGTGCGTTGGTGCTTCAGGTCTAGGGAGCATCACCCTCTTGTCTGAGGTCTGCCTGCCTGAGGCCATCCTTTTGAATTCTTTATTCAGAAAGGTTTCCCAGGGCCTAGGGCCCCCTCTCACCTCCATCCCCACCCATGGCTCCCGTTTCTAAAGAAGGGGTGCTGCCCCACGTGCCCCTGTGAGGTTCAACCGCAGCTGGGACGCCCCCATACCTGTGCTCGCTGCAGTGGCTCAGCCGCTGCTCCACGCCGGCTTCTGCCTGCTCTGGGCCGGGCTGGGCTGGTAGGACTTGTTCCCGGTGGGTGGGACACACACACACCTCAGCAGCTCTCAGCAGATCCCAGTTCCCTGCATGCACCCAACCCCGGGCAGGGCAGGGAGAGAGAGAGAGGAGGAAGCAGTGCCCTCAGTGGCCTCCACGGACCGGCCAGAGAAGAAACCCCAGCAGGTCATGACACTTAACGCAGCCCCGACTCTCCCCCAGTAATGCCCCCCACCCACCCACCCACCCATGGCTCGCACACTCCCTGCAGTTTCCGGGAAGCCTAACTGGCACACCCACCCACAGATGCCAGATGACTAACCCCCAGCCTCCCGCTGTCCTCGGCAGTTCCCCCTGGCTGTCTCCGTCTCTTTTGGGTTCCGGCAGGTGGTTTCGTTCTTGCCACATGTGGTTTTTACCTCCCTCTGTGTGTGGGGTGGCAGCCCCTAGTCTCTGAACCCTGGGCTGAGCCCCTTGTCTTCCAGATCAATAGGGCTGGGCAGGTTGTCTGCGCTCAGTACTTGAAAACAAGCTTTGAGTGGTAGGTGAAAAAGGACAGTGCGGTCGAACGAGTATGGGAAACACTAAGTCGAACAGGTTTCTCTGTTTCAGCGCTTCTCAGAGCCTTTGACATGCCTTTTAAGAGGTTGACTGCTGTTGGGAATTGAAGCTGGGTGAAGGGTGCATGGGAGTGCCTTACACTATTCTCTACGTGTGCGTGTTTGAGCTTTTCCATAATAAATGTTTTCTTTTAAATGCTGTATAGCTCCCCACACGTGTGTCCTCCGAACACGTCTGGGGAGATCCCAGGTTATTAAAGGCCGATGCTTCCAGATGCAGCTCCTCCCCACGTTCAGGCCATCGGGCCCATGACTGGACGTCACAGCAAAGGTTTCCTGAGCTCCAGCCCAGTTGTTTCCTTCCTCCTATAAAGAGCAAGTCCTACCCTACTGTCTGGGATTGGTCCCCCTGGACACAATCTCATTCAGCTTGTCCTCCAGAGGGACAGTCCTACATTCACATCTGAGATCATGGGATCAGGGCTTCAGAAATGGAGACACCCACGGCCTCAGGGCCCACATGGTCCCCAAGACACCCACCGGCTGTGACCTTCTTCAATCCAACTCTGATTTCTCAGGGCTTCTCCTCCTGGCAGAGGGCTGCTTCCCTGAGTACCATCCCCATGGTTCCCTCGCCTGCAGATGGATCCAGGGGTTGGAGGGTTGACTCCCCCGGGGCAGGGCCAACGAGGGGGTCAGAACCAAAACAGCCCACACAGGTTGAAAATAAACATTTTATGTAAAGACATCCTTTAAGGGAGGTGGAGCTCCCATCGCAGACCTCTCCGGGACGGCTGCCCCAACCCAAGGGAAACGTTGAGTCTGGGCCAAGTAAGAGACAACCTGGGGTCTGAGAGCAATGGAGGGTGTGGAAAGTGGGTGGGGAGAGGGCAGAGTCCAGCTCAGCCGGCTTGGCCGAGAGTCAAGGTGCTAAACTCCTGGCTCCATCGAAGCACGAGGTCCTCGCTCTTGGCCGGGGTCAGGACGGTGTACGTCTCATTCTGCAGACATCTCATGCGGGACACCTGCACGGGGATTGGGCGCACGTGGTCCAGCTAGGAAAGCCAGGAGCCCGAGGTGTCGGAAATTCAAGAACAGGAGGTGGGCGGGCGTAGGCACAGGGAGCAGAGGGAAGGAGGAAACTCAGATGTGGGTTTTTAAAGCGGGGAGGCACACCACGTAGCCCGACTCCCCCTTTCAGAAATGAGGAGCCTGAGGCTGGAGAGGAAGTGACTTGGCTCAGACGACTTGGTGAGTAACAGCAAGAGCCAAGACTGAGGCCTCAGCCTCTCAGGCCCAACCCGGCTGGGGGTTCGTCCCTCCTGGCGTATCCACAGGGCCTCTGATGTGCTGCCTCCCTCCCTCCTGGAACCCTCTGCCTGGGGGCCTGGGAGAGCTGCTCACCCCAGGGCGGGAGGAGTGGGGACAGAGCTCCACGGAGGAGGCTCTGCCCGGAGATGCACCCACTCTCCACACCCCTGATGCTCGGATGCCACGGGGGGCCCAGAACGGACCAGCCCTTGGGGCTGATGGGAGGCAGCAGGGGCGGGGGGGGGGGGGCGGCAGAGGGAGGGGCTCACCTTCCGGTTCCGGTTTCTCATCCTACACTGCTGGCTTTTGAAGGCACAATAGTTCGGGTACTGCACGTATTCTGTGTCACAAATCTAAGCCAGGAGCGGGGGATGGGAGGTGGGAAGACATCAGAAGCCTCACAGACGCCAGCCCTGCAGAGTGCGCCCACGATGGCAGGACCAGGGCACAGAACCAGACCCTCTGCACCTGGGGTGTCCCCTCTGCCCTTCCCGTCCCACCCTCAGCCATGGTTCAGTTGCTGGGAAGAAGCCAGGAGCTGGAGCTGAGAAGGGGGTGCCCTGCTGGTCACCTAGCTGGGAAAGCAGCCGAGCGACGAGGGCCAGGGAAGGGGCACTGAGGGCCCATATGCGGGAAGGGGCCCAAGCAGCGGTCCCATCTCAGGGAGCTTCCTAGGGACTGTTCAGTGCGGAAGAGGTCAGAAGTGCCTCTAATGTATGACCCTGGGCCAGTCACTTCCCTCTATGCACCTCGCCTGCCCATCTATAAATCCAGGGGAGCAGCTGAGCAGTCCGAGACCCCTTCCAGATCTAGGGGCCCAGGGAGGAGAGCTGGGCGGAGGCCTCTCGGCTCAGGTAAAGCCCTCTCTTAAGCTGCCTCTGCTTTTCCTGGTCTTGATTTTTCCTGCTGAACCACAGAAGGGAGGGGCCGGGCTCTCAGCTACAGCAGCTAGTTCCGTGGGGGGAGGTAACTCTGGAGGCGGGGAGCAAAGTTGATCCCATTGAGAGGGAAAGCGCTAGAAGATTTGGGAAGGAGCCTCCAGACTTAGGCAGGGAAGCACTGGGTCACCGTCAGCAGCCGTTTGGGGCAGAGATGAAGTCCCCCACCCCACCCCCTGCAGGTAACCGGCAGAGCTGGGACCAGACCTGTCTCATGCCCCCATGGCCTGTGCCCGCCCGGCCCTCCAGGTTTCTACGCCTTTGCTAAGCGCAATCCTGCTCTCTTGGGGGTCTGGAGGGTCTACTGGGGAGAGGCAGGAGGCTCAGTGAGGCCAGGGGCCCAAGCCCCCCTCCACATCCTAGGGTTCCCCAGAGCAGGGGACCAGAGGGAACCGGGGTGAGCAGGGTGGGGCTGAGCTTTGGGGAAGGCGCTGACCTTGGTGGGGAAGTCCCCGTCCTGGAAGCTGAGGAACTCGGTCTGGAGCCAGCTGGCGACTCGACTGTCTTCGCAGCCCTTAGTGGCCAGCCGGGCACACCAGAAGTCCATGCGCAGCCCGCCGTACAAATCCAGCGCGTAAAAGCGGCCCGATTTTAGGGTCCCTACCTGTGGCACGGGGCACAGGGGAGAGGTGGGCGTCCTGGCCCCCCTGCTGCCCCATCCTGCCTGGGGCCTGAGGCCCCCGGCCGCTGCAGGCCACCCTCCTCGGTACCTGGGTGCCGACGGACATGCTCTGGGACGCGAGCAGGGGGCTGACGAAGGGCGTCTTGTGGGAGCTGTCACACTGCTGCCGCTGCAGGCTGGCCTCCGAGCGGCACTGCTCCAGCTTGAGGGAGCAGAACTCACAGAGGGCACATGTAGCCACGTGGCGCCGCCCAAGGCTGTCACAGACCTGAGGAGGAGCGCGGCTGGGGGACTGAGGCTCCCCCGCTTCCGCCCTCCAGAGCCGCTCCGCAGAATGTCTCCGCATTAAGTCTTTTCCAGAAGCTCCTGTGGCTTTTCCCTGCCCCCCTCCCCAAGGGTCCTCAAGGACCTCCCGTCGGCTCTCTGTTTCTTCACCCTTTTCCTGGATTATTTATCTACTCACAGGTAATATTCATCTCCCTGCTGGTGACACCCAAACCTTTACCATCACTTCTGATCTCTTTCCTGAGCTCCAAATCCCCACGGCCAAGTGCCTGACAGACATGTAACTTAGCCCGTCTGAAAAAGACCCATAACCCTCCCTTCCTCTCCGCTAATGATAACGCTAACATTCACAAAGAGTCGGCACAGTGCTGCGCACCATGGCGCTAAGTACCATCATCTCCTTGGGTCTCCACAGGAAGCTTCTACTAGCATAGGTACTAAGCAGGCCTCCGTTGTGTGCCTGACGAGGAAACCGAGGCTCCGTGAGGCTGAGTCAACTGCTCAAACCCACGTCTAGTGTGTGTGGAGCTGAGGCACTGGTCCTGGTGCTTCCAACTCCAAAACCTGTCCTCTGCCCGAGCACCTAGGCTCAGAACCTCCAAGTTCTTGGATGACATTTTGTATGTGGAGCCCGGTGGGGCTCTCTGCCCTGAGCAAGTCTCCCCAGCCTTCCAGGAGGAAGGAGGATCTCGCCCTGCAGCATCGCCAGTCCATCCCGTCAGCGTGTCACAGTCACAAAATCTCTTACGTCGCCTTCCTTGCTCCTCCTAACAGCACACGGGGGACGCATCATCATGTCCCTGACCCCAAATCATGACTGAATCCTCTTTTCTTACCAAATTAAATACAAATGCTTCAGACTGCCATTCGGGATTATTCACATCATGACCCTTATTATCTCTTTGACTCTAAAAATCCAGTGAGCCCTCCACCACTCCTGAACTTCCTACACTCCAAAACAAAAACAAAAAGACCCAGAAGAACTCTCTCTCCAGCACCTACCACACTCCTTTTGTAACGCTACTGAATCCCTGCTCCCTGTGGGCCGAGAACAGCAGTGTGCTCGTTTTTTTTGTTTGTTTGTTTTGGTTCCATGTGGAATTTCTTCTCTTTCTTGCCTCAGAGACTTTGCACAAATTGATACTAACCCCTCTAGCAGGAACCTCTACCAACCCCTTCTTTTGCCTGGTTAACTTCTTTTAGCTCCGGGTCTCAGTTTACACATCAGTTCCTCCAAGAGGCAATTCTCTGATCCAGCCCAACTCGACGTTTGTGCTCTCCATCTGCTCTCTGCACTTTGTGCTTGTCCGTCATGCATTGATCCTGCCACACCGTTCTCCGTTTCCGCGTCTGTCTCTCCCACCGGACTCCAGGAGGAGAGGGAATGGGATCTGTCGTAGTCATTGCTAAAATACCTAGGACAGAGTTGCTAACATCTCAAATACCTAGCCTGATCAATATTTGAACAAACGGATGAATGGGTGGCATACCAGCTCTCAACAAACATTTGCTAACTTGCACTTTTTGAAAGCCCTGTTTCCTGGGAATAGGACCTGCTGGGTGCTGAGGACACGTCGAGGCTGGGATCTCTCTACAGATCCCTGGAAACGGTTCTATGATCCCTCTGGAAAGAAGAGCTACATCTAAGGTAAAGCCAAGTCCTGCCGGTGGTGAACTGGCTCAGGAGATGACTCAAACCCAACGAGGCGCCGCCACAGCATGAATTCTGGACTGAAATGGATTCCAGACTCCGTCCTGTGACCTCCTCCTTTAAGGGGAGCTGGAGATACCCTTCCAAAGAAGGGATTCTCACTTGGAGAGAATCTCCAATGATGCCTCGGGCTTTATGTAGCCCCGCCCATTAACCGCTCCTGAGGCCCAGAGGATGCCCGGTGAGCATGGAGCCATTAAACAGCATGGTGGGCATACCGACTTCCCGAAACCGAGGATCTCATCCTCCAAGTGCTGCCAGGCCTTGGCTGTAGGGGTTATGACACAGGTGTTCTCCACAATCGAGTAGCACAGTGCCAGCAAGGCCTCCACGTGAGGCAGCTGCAGGAGACTGCAAGAAGACGGCACCGGCTGGGGCAGAAAGCCCACCCACTCTCTTCCCCTCCCCTTAGCGTCTAGTCCTAGTCACACACATTTAGCATGCTGGATGGGGCCCCGGAAGCCTCCAGGCCAACTGCCTCCTTTTACAAACGAGGAACTGAGATCCAGAAAGGGGAAGTAAAAGTTGCAGTGCTCATCAGGGTCAGAGACAACCCCAGAACCCAAGTCTGGTAGCTCTAGGTTCAGGGCGCACCCCACTACTTCATGTAGAGACGGACGTCTAGGGCAGTGCTTAAGCCCATGACGGCCACACAGCAGGCGAGGCAGGCAGCAGCTAGGTGCACCTGAAGCCCAGGCAGATGTGAATGGGTCTGGAGGCCGAAGCTGGCAAAGGGGGCTTCTCATTCCCAAAGACAGCGGGGAAGGTAGGGCCGGTGGGGCAGACAGAACTTCCTGTACCTGCCGGGGCTCTGGGCTTTCCAGATATTCTCCTCATATACATCATTCATTTCATTCATTTCATCCATTTCCTGCACGGATCGGATGACCTCTTGGATGTTCTCCATCGTCATGGGAGTAGACTCCACTTCCCGCACCCGGGGAGTGAAGGAGAAAGGGTTGGAAGTTACAAATTCAGACTGGGTCTTGGGCTCCAGGTCTGCCTGCAACCCAGACGTCACCTCCAGCGCCTGCTTTGTGCCCTGTCCTTCCTCCCACTCCTCCTCTTGTCCCTCCCGCTCCTGCCCTTGATCCTGGCCGCCCAGGGACAGGGAGGATTGTAGCAGCTCCTCCACGCTGCTGTTAAGCCGCTCGGGCCAGGGCTGGAAGGCCTGTTGTTCTGTGGCTGCAGCAGGGTTTGGGAGGGACCAAGAGAGAGAAGGGAAAGGGATGGTCAGGTTTCTGACCCCCCATGTCTTTGTTCGCAGAGGGACACACATAAATGCAGACAAAAACACATAAACAAACACATACATAAACACAAAGGCAGAGAAAGGCAGCGCAAATTGCACATATTCATTCAGTTGAGCATAAAAAACACAGAAGAGAATACAAATATCAAAATAAAAGAACATTACCAGGGCGACAGTGGAGGCAGCGTCACCGGTCCCCTTTCCACCTCCCTTACAAGTGGTCCTCTTCCCTAAGCCACCTCAAATACCACCTTTTGTCCCCCTCACTTAGGAAACACCAGTATTCTGAATACCTAGCAACCAATCCTTTCTAGAGTGAAGATTTTAGCTGGGAAAAGTCCCAGAGCACTTCTTAATGTAGGAAGGTTTTGGGGAGCTAGGGAACATCGGTTCAGGGCAGAGATGTACGTAATGTCAGAAAACATCCTGGGACAGGAAAGCCCTAACTTGTATTCAGAAAAAGCACGCTCTCCCTTATGTAAACAGCTGCCCATGGCCACCTCCACTGGCTCATCTCCCCACGTCCCTCCCACTGATGCCTTAAACCCTGGGCTCTGGGACTCGTGGGAGGAGAGGCTGGGAGTCTCCCAGGGGCTGGGAGGGTCTCACCTGTGATGTGGGAGGACTTGGGGGAGGTCATCGTCGTGAGCGGCACTTCAGAGGAAGTGTCCACCTCCTTGAGAGTGTTTGGTGAGAGGATTGAGACTGGCTGGGAGCACCCGACCCGCTGCAAGGAGAGAAGCAAAGTGGGAACGCCTTTCCCAAAGGGCGGACTTCTACTCCTGCTTATCCTCCGTCCCTGTCCCTCGGGTCTCCTCTCTCACAGTTCCTGGGCGGGAATGAGGGCACATGGCCCCCGGTGGAACTCTCTAGACCTGAGAAAGGTCCCCTGCAAGATCAGACTCCCGTCTGGCCCACACTCCTGCCTTCAGTCTTTTGCATTTGACTTGAATGACATCACTGACCTGCTGGAAGGGCTTATCTCTGCCTCCTCCCATCCCTCTTCCCTACTTTTCTTGCAGTAACAGGACTGTTCTGACAGTCTGAATGCCCAAGGTGAGACTGTACGCACGTATAATCTGGGTAAATGATGGCAAAGTGGCAGGTAGGGAGGACCTAAGGCTGGCTTGGCGCCACTGCCACCGCCTGTCCCTTGATCCTTGACACCAGATCCAACCTCTGTCCCGGCCTCACCTTGGCGTAGTAGACGTGGTTGGAGCAACGGTACTGAGTAAACTGGCAGAAGGACTCAAACCGGGAGGCATGAGGGAGGTCGGAGCAGACAGCGCCTGGGGAAGGGCGTGCGGCGGAAGTGAACACACCAGGGGGAACGCCCTCTGGGAGGGGGCACGCCCTCTGGGAGGGGGCGGGACGGGGCGGTGGGCTCCCGGGGTCTGGAGAGCCCAGCACGCGGGCTCAGTGTGAGGCGCCAGCCACCCCCTCGCCCCGGGTCCAGCGAGCACAGGTCTGGCCCTCGAGGCGGGCCCTCACCTTCCGGCACCAGGCCGTGGTTTTCATACTGGTCCAGCTGGACGAGGGTGGGGTTCCGGCAGCCGTGGGTTGCGCGGAGCCGGCAGGTGGTCTCTGCCTTCCAGGTTGGGGTCAGCAGCGCAAAGAAGCGCTCATACTCGGTGGGAGAGAGGGGGCTGCCCGGAGTGGAGGTCGAGAGGGTATCCTGGGCGGGGGCCGGTGCCGGAGGCAGGAGCAGCACTGCGGGGCGGGAAACAGACCACGGATGGACCCAACTCCGACACCGGGCGAGCCGGCCCGTGCACACGGGGACCGGGGTGTCTGGCCGCCGAGCCCGCGGGCGAGGGCGAGAGGGCTGGGGCGGGGGGAGGGGCTGGAAGCGGCCGGCCCAGGGGAAGGCGGTTCAGAGACGGTGCAGGGAGGGCTCCGGGGGCGGACGCGCGCTCACCCCTCAGGAGTGAGAGAAGGGAGGCGGCGGCGAGCTGCCTCATGGCCCCGGACGGTCGCCCGTGTTCCCGGGACCGAGCGGCCTCTAACGGGCCGAGCCAGGGCTAGCCGGCGGGCGGGGGCCGCGGGTGCGAGGCCGCCGACGTCACAAAGGGCGGGGCGGGCCACGCGGGGGGTGGGGGACGGGGAAACGGACGTTTGGCCGGGCTCGGTCGGAGGGCGGGTGCGGGTCCCCGCGTGTCACGCTCCAGCACGAGAGGACAAGGAGGGCAGGAGTGATCACTGACTCGGTGCCTTGGACGGCGGAGCTCCTGTGTTGTTCCTTACGCGTGACGTTTTTTCATCTCAAGGTGATCCCATAAAGTGGATACTGTTACTAGCCCTATTTTACAATCTGCCCAAGAAGGGGTGAGGCCTGGAAGTGAGGCGCGCAGAGATGGGACGTACACCACCAAGTCTGGAGAGGGCGCCTCCAGGTAAGGAGCCGAAGGAGAAGCAAGAGGGGGTTCGGGTGAGGAGGAGATGGGGCATAAGGGGGGCTCAGTCTAAGGAGGTGGTTTCCTGGTGGAGGCGGGCCAGACAGCTCACTGGTGTAGGGCAAACTACGTGTTTTTCTGTTTTGTGTTTAAAATAAGTCAGCCTGATACTTAGTCACGTATAAAGCACAAAATACACATTTACTGGAAATTAAGTGAAAGGTATCTAAGGGAGAAAAGATGCAGAATCGTAAAGGTTTTGGAAACCCTGGTCTGAGGCACAGTCCCCAGGCAGCTCGGGTGGTTCCAGAGAAGTTGACAAGTTGTGGATTCTGGGGCAGAGGTACCACTTCTGGTTCCACATCTTGTCCCACTTCTGGCATGTCATCCTCCCACCTTTTAGCCAACTCAGAGGATGCAAAATATGCTTAGCACATGCACTGAAATAGTGTCTCTACAATAAACACAGCAGGCCAACATGTACAGCTTTTATTCACCGACCCAATTCCTTTCCATATGAGATATCTGCACTCCACCCTGCCCCTCCCACTCACAAACCAGGACGAATCCTCTTGGCACAGAGGAAGGGGTGACCCTTCAGCCAGGGCCACAGCCCAGATGATCTGGAGGAGCCCCCGCTGGAAAAGCAGGAAGAGAGTGAAGAAAGTTTATCACGCCATGGCCCCCCACGAGGGGAGGGGATCAGGAGGCTGGGGGAGGGCCCCATGCTACTGCCCCAGTCCTTAAATACAAAGCAAGGGGAGTAAGAGGACCATCCCTCAAAAATACAGCACCAACCTCAGCATGGAGGCAAAAGGACAGTGGGCAAGACCCCTTCCCTCTGAAGGGGGCGGGCTGAATGAGAGCACATACCGTTAGTGGCTGCAGCAACCCCCGTACCAGGGTCTGGGTGCAGCCTCAGCACCAGGAGTGGGGAGGCGAGGAGAGGGGATGACAACTCTGCGCCACCCACCTCTCCCTGACCCCAGCCAGGCATCCCTCTCCCCACTAGCCCAGGTCAGGGGATGTGGAAGAAACTGTGTTGGAATCCAAGGCCCTTGTCTATTTCTTCTTCCGTTCTTGGGAGCAGCGTGGGCAAAACCTACAAAGGAACGTGACAGAGAAGGGGGAGAGAGTGAGCGAAAGGGAGGATGCCCTCTGTCACTCACTCAGCTCGTGACAGTCCAGCCCCACCGCAGCTCTCACTCACCACTTCCCCCGAGGCTTGGTGGTCAGCCCCACACAGGCAAAATGGAACCACTCGATGGAACACTGGGAAAGGAAGAGGATGGGAGAAGCAGAACTCAGGGACCGGGGTGGGGGGGCAGAGGAAAGAAAAGAACCCCCCCCCACCCTCCATTCCCCTCCCCATCCTTTAGGAATACTCCCCTATTCCATCCCTTGGGAGAATTCTTGAAGGGTCCAAGGCCAACCAACTCCAACTACCTTTCTCCTATCCCGAAGTCCCCCTATTCAACCGTTACCCCCCTTCTTGTACCCAACTCCCTTCATGTCCACCAGAACCCACCCCCCCATCCTGAGGCAAAACAGTTCTTACATCAGGGTTGTCACAGCCAATCATCTCTCCATAGGAGACCTGGTGACAAAGGCAATAGGTGGGTTCGTTGGGATCCACAGGCATATCCAACACATCAGAGGGGTGGACACTGCCAAAGGTCACTGAGGGCATCCCATACTCAGGGCTTCTGCGTGCCAAGAGGGAGAGAAAGTGTCATCTGCAGGAAGGGAAGCTACAGCTTGAGATGCTCAGAGCCAGCAGAGGAGGAGGTCCTTGTGGGGCTAGTGATCTGTGGCTTCTCCTCTGTATCCAGCAGATACCAAAATGGCAAGGAGAGTTGTTGGCCCAGGACACAGCAAAGTGGCAAGGGGCATTGTGGCTGGGGTGAGGTGGCGGGAAAGAGGAGTCTGTCCCTTGGCAAAATGCTCCCTGACACACTCACGTGCGCACAAGTTTTAACTTCTTCTGGGCAGCCTTGGGGGCTTCTTCGTCAGAGTTTTTCCCTTTGGAACGAGCACGGGCAGCCTTCTTCTCCTTTTGAGTCCGGCCTTCTAGGCAAAAGCGGGGGAAGCCAGAAGGCAGGGAGACAGAAGGATGGGTTAAGCCCCCCTCCCCCTGCCCCTCCTCCAAGCCGGTGCAGGCTGGCTTCTCCCTCGGGGTCCTCGCCCCACCCCTCGCCCCACCTCTCACAGCCCCGCCCCCCTCCTCACTCTTTTTGCCTTTGCTGGAAGAGCTGTCATAGTCACTTGACTCAATCTGCTTCTCCTTCAGATCAGCCTCAAAACGGGCCAGGTCTGTGTCCAGTCGCCGAATGTGTTTGTCCACCTGGGTGGGAAGGAAGGAGAAGGAAGAGCTACAGGGCTGGTTCCAGTTAAAGAAAACAGGCGGAGGCAGATTCTATGGATCTCCCAGACCCAAAACAGATCCCAACACGGCTGAAGGAGGGGGTCTAGGACCCCGAGGAATAGACGGGAGGCAGGTGGGGAGCCATGAACAGGGCCATACCATCTCATAGGTCTGCATGGCAAGCTGCACCTTGTCGTCACCAAATCCCTTGCACTTGCCATAGGCTTCCTGGATCTGTCTGAGAAGGGCCAGTTTCTCCTCGGAGCTCAGGCTGCGGGCGCTACTCATATACTCAGTGGCCAACTTGTCAATTTCAGCCTTCAGGTCTACAACAGAGACAGAGGCCTGGTCACAATGGCCCCTGAGTGGCTAGGTGGAACACACTTCTTCCTCTTGCTCCTTGGACCTTTTCCATTGACCATCATAACCTTCCAATTAAAACGTACTGAACATTCCTAGGTACTGTGCCACGTACTCAAGTAATGCAACATGTTCACAATATTTGTTTCAAAGGTGCCTTCGGGTGCTGAAAACATTGCTATCATAGTTGGAACTGAATTTATTGAACCATAATGAGGGATTCCTGGCACCCGGCACTAATACGAAGTGTGTTTTTGTCGCTGTCTGAAGATGCTTCTTTGCAGGGCTTGCTGCCTCTTGAACCATGAACTTTCTCTCAAAAGCCATCTGGTTTCTCGTCTCGAAAACATCCCACGACAGCTCTGAGTGCTACAAACCAGGCTGGGTCATCTGCTGCTGCTGGCTTCCAGGTCTGTACATCTATATCTCATCATTTAAAATTAGGCCCTGGTCCATTCACGGCACAGTTCTTCTACTTACTGCCCACCCTGTTTTGCTCATCGTTTGCAACTTGCTTATATTTCCCATCACTTTTTTTCTGTTTGTTCATTTTAGATATTGCTCCAAACGTTTCTGCAAGGCTGGTGACGTCCCAAGACACTGAGACTTTAGATGCCCACTGCCCAATATTTGGTAGTGCTCACAAAACATGTCGATGGAGAAAAAAGTATGACTGCAACACGGGGCAGCAATAGGTAACAGGGAAGACCTGCGCGCACACTAGGTTTACGCCCCGCTTCATTTGAGGCCCTTGGAGGAAGCTGGAAAAGCATGTATGTAGTTCAGTAATCTCCAACTGGTCTTTCTGTGCATGAACTCAAGAGCTGGAACTGTATTACAAAGCAAGGAGCTGGTGCTCAGCATTCAGCAGGGAGTTCTCAGGGGCCTACGTCCAGGATTTTAGACGATGTTCACCTTTTCATGAGTGAACTTACCAAGAGTAACTTAAATCACAGCTTTAGGTATTCTAACAACAGCTTGTTACATCCTTGGGCACAGTTACATGAGGATGCACCTACATATCCATCAGCAGGTGTGGGGGGATAGCTCCAACAAATACCTTTGACCTTGAAGAGACAAACCTGACCACTGTAGTGTGGCCTCAGGCTCTAAATGCATGCCTCAGTGCAGCCAGACTTGCTCAACGCCCAGGCAAGGCCACAGATGGTACCCAGTGCTTCTGTGCGGCTGAAGAATATAGTGTAGAGATCCTGATGTTTGTTAATTGCTGCTCTTCCTTCTTTTTTCCTTTCTTTTTAAGATCTTCTCATGCAGCAAAGTTCCTGTCTACCAACATGAGTTGCAGTCTAAAGCCACAGTGAATTTTGTGACAGTAACATTAACAATCCAATGGAATAGAAACATTCTAGTCTTCCATAAACGTACTGAACATGGAGAACAGAAATGATTCTAGGCATGACTTTGGTTTTTTTAATTCTTCTTGAGGGAGATATAAAGAGCACAGCATCTTTGAATTCTTGAGGCACTGTCACAATACGCCATGTGTTATGGAAAAGCTGACACATAAATATGGGTCATTATTACTCTCCTTCTAAGAACTGCAAGAGAGAGAGTGAGAGAGAGAGAGAGAGAGAGAAGCTGCAGCAATCCAGACCAGACCATGTGCTAACACCAAACAGAAGAAGAAACGATCATATACACACTCACTATACACTGGACTCCTTACTCTGTACATACCCTCTGTTCTTTGGTCCAGGTCCCTCATGAGCTGGAAGTTTCTCTGCAGTTCAAATGGGAGGTTTTCAATACCTGGGGAGAAGAGGAGAAATTGAGCCTCCCTGGACGTCCTAGGCCCTACCGCTGCTTTTAAAGAACAGGTCCAAAACAACACTCGGTTTTCCCTCCTTCAAACCGCTGGATTATCTGTTACAGCACTCATCGTTCTGCTCTCAGGAGCGGTCACGTCCGCCTCTTTCCACAACTAACCCCTCCATCTCTACACAGCTTTCCCACCCTTCCTCCCTTCAGTGACTTTACAAATCAGCCTTTCCCTTTCCTTTCTTTCAATCTCTGTCTCCAAGCTCCTTGCCCTCAACTTACAAATACCCTCCTGGCATCACACACACACTTCCAACCTGCTCTCCATACAGTAGCCAGAATTGTTCTTTAAAAAATGCAGATCTGGGCTTCCCTGGTGGCGCAGTGGTTCGGGGTCCGCCTGCCGATGCAGGGGACACGGGTTCGTGCCCCGGTCCGGGAAGATCCCACATGCCGCGGAGCGGCTGGGCCCATGAGCCATGGCCGCTGAGCCTGCGCGTCCGGAGCCTGTGCTCCGCAACGGGAGAGGCCACAACGGTGAGAGGCCCGCGTACCGCAAAAAAAAAAAAAAAAAAAAAGCAGATCTGCTCAAGTCACTGTCCTGTTTATAACCCTCGAGTAACCTCCTACTGCAATATTCCTATTGCTATTCTGCACTTTCTGGCCCTTGCTTCCCTCACACCAGCCCTAACTCACATCAGTCCCTGTCTGTGCTCTCTCTCTGCTGTATCATACTGGCCTCCACTGAGTGCCTTGAACTTGCCAGTGCTCTTCATGACGCTTGGCTTTTCACACGCTACTCTCTCTGCCCAGAATGCCCTGCCCAGTCTTCTTCATCCCACCTCCACCATACCTCTTGGCCTTCAAATTCCTGTTCATTCTTCAAAGTTCAGCTCAACCCTGACTGCCCCAAACTCCAACAAGTGCCCTGGATTATGCTGTCATGCTATTTTTTTTTTAAATACGTATTTCGCTGCGTGGGGTCTTAGTTGCAGTACACGGGATCTTTGTTGCTGCGTGCGGGACCTTTTAGTTGTGGCATGTGGGATCTTGTATTTGCAGCGTGTGGGATCTAGCTCCCTCCCTGACCACGGATCGAACCCAGGCCCCCTGCATTGGGAGTGCGGAGTCTTAACCACTGGACCACCAGGGAAGTCCCTGTCGTGGTATTCTGTGTCTACCCTTTTGGGCTCTTATCCAATGTACTTACATAGGTAATTGTGTAATTAGTTATTTGGTATGTCTCCCCAGCTCTCCAGAAGGGTTAGATGCATCTGTCTTCTTCCCTATTTCTCTAGAGTTTAGAACTATGATGTGCATACAGAGGATCCTCAATAAATACTTGAATAAGTGCATGAATACTTAAGTCTCTCTCATAAAAGAAAAATCTCTTCCCATGACTCCACTTCCAACTTTTAAAATGCCTCCACTGCTTTAACCTATAAACTCAGGTTCGCCACCACCAGTTTACTGAGACTAAGCCATCAGTGACTTACCAAGTCAAATGATGGGTTACTAGTCCCATCCTAAAAAAATTACCTTCGCAGGATCTGGCACCATCTTCTCGTCTTCGAATAACTTTCTTCCTCTTAAGATTCCAAATCTCATCACATACTTTCTAGCAATTCCGTCACTGACATTTCCTTAGCCTGTCCCTTAAATGTTAATATTTTCTTGAGCTTACACTTAATTTAATCCTCTAATTTTCTCACTTGCTTTCTCTGAACGATCTCCATCTTATTTACTCTTACAGATACAATTACCATTCCTATGCTTAAATCTAAGTTGAATAAATATGTTACTGTTACTCCTGAATTTCCTATCTTGTTGATGATTTACTGTCTACCTCACTTCCCAAACAGGAAATAGAGAAGTCACCTTAGATTCCTCCTTCTCTCTCAACCACTCAGTCAGTCAATCCTGTCATATTTAACTCCTAAACACTTCTGTCACTCCCTGAGATCAGGTCCTCATCTCTGACCAGGACTGTTATCCCTAACTGATCTCCTTATTACCAATGTCATCATGCTCCAATTTATCATGCAACATTTATTTTCCTTTATATAAAAAAATCACTCTATTTAGAAAATCTGTTGGTTCCTCGCTATTTAAAGTGCACGCTGGTGGACTTCCCTGGTGGTGCAGTGGTTAAGAATCCGCCCACCCGCACTGGTTGAGAGTCCGCCTGCCGATGCGGGGGACGCGGGTTCGGGCCCTGATCCAGGAAGATCGCACATGCTGCGGAGCAACTAAGCCCGTGTGCCACAACTACTGAGCCTGCGCTCTAGAGCCCACGAGCCACAACTACTGAGCCCGCGTGCCACAACTACTGAAGCCGGCGCGCCTCGAGCCCGTGCTCCGCAACGAGAGAAATCACCGCAATGAGAAGCCCGCACACTGCAACAAAGAGTAGCCCCCGCTCACCGCAACTAGAGAAAGCCTGCGGGCAGCAACGAAGACCCAATGCAGCTAAAACAAACAAACAAACAAATAAATATAACGTGCAAGCTTCTTAGCTTGGCTTAAACGACCTTGCACAACCTAGCCCCAGCTACCTTCTCCAGTCTCGTTTCCCAATCTTGCACCTCGGAGTCCTATACATCAAACACTCTGGCCTCACTTTTCCCTGGCTTTGCCACAAACCCATCATAACACCTTTGCTGATGCTTTCCCCAACCTGCAATTCCCTCTCCCTCTCCGCACTCAACCTTCAAGTTTCTATACATCACATCCTCTGTAAAGCTTTACCTACACCCCCAGGTAATGAGCCCCTCCTTCTCCAGTGTTACCTACTGTCCTTTTAATGTATTTCTATTATTTCATTTGTCACACTGTTTTATAAATATTAGCAGAACCTGTGTTCTACTAGACTATGAGCACTTGAGGGCAAGAGCCGGGTCTTATTCATTCTTGTATATCGCCAGTACCTGCCATTATGTCTGACCCATAGCAGAACCTCAAAAAACGAATGAATGACTCTCAACGGTAAGGCAAATGTAAGGGCATAGGGTGACGGACTCTGTGAAGAGGTAGGTTACACAAATAGCATAAACATAACACCAGATTTCCATTTGATGGGAATTGGATCTTTACTCCAAGAGGAGAAGCCTTCCGGTTCATCATGTGACAGTGGTCACTCGTAACCCCCCATCCCCACGAGAAGCCGCTTCTTCGAAAGAACTGGTTGGAGGAGCCGCGAGCAGATCTTCATCGCTGCTCCAAATGGCAGTGGATGATATATTAATACGAAAACGACCGATTCGGAACGATTTTAAGAAAATGATATATGCTGAGGCCAGAGACTCTGCAGACGGGGGCAGCAAATATCTTCCCGGCTATGCCCACCAGCCCTTCAAGAGCCGTCCCCCAGCCCTGCCGCGCAGCCCCTCCCCCGTCTACACCCCAGAGCGAGGCCTCGACCCCGGTGCCCCGCCCCCTATTTCTTCACACCCTCCAGTATTTTCTCTCGCTCAACCTTTCACGACTGTCACTTTCTGACCACCGAGACTTCGGAGCCGTGAAGCTCCTCAGCCCCGATCCCCCCGACCCGTCTGTGACCCCTGACCCCCTCCTCCAGCCTGCTCTTACTGTCCAGATAATGTTCCAAATACATCCCCGCAGCCATCTTGAAGCAAAACAAAGCAACTTCCGCTCCGCCCCGGAAGTGACTGAACGCGAAGGGAGCCGAAGAGCTCCTACCCGGCCTGGAGCCCTTCCGCCCTCACGAGGGGAACTTTCCGCCCTCACGAGGAGAACTTCCGCCCTCACGAGACGAACTTCCGGTCTGAGTACAGGGCCCGCCGAGTTGCCTTCGCCTGGCGCAGACACTGGTCCGCGGCGGGTCGGCCGGGTGCGGGGCCGGCGGTGGTGGCCGCCGCGGCCGAGGGCGCCATTTTGCGTCCTCGCTCAAACTTCCATCCCCTCCAGGACGGGGACGTGCGGGCGTGAGAGCAAGGAAACCTGTCTCTTTGGGCTTTCAGTCCACAGAGAGTCCGTCTCAGCAGCTGGGGAATGTGAATCGGCCCCTTTGGCGGAATGTGAAGCTGGCGACCAGAGCAGGTGCCTTCTTCCGCGTCGCTAGTTTCTTAGGAAGTTGAGGAGGCGCCTGGCGATGCGAGGTTTAAATCCTCCCCGTTTCTGTTCACTCGCGCGAACACCAACTCCCCAGGATTATGTTTTAACGTGGAAACAGTTGATTATTTATAAACTCTACTTATAAATACAAAGAACTACTCACACAATAAAGCTGCGGCTCTCCACACCTTTTGTCAGGGTTCCTGTCACTTGAGGACGTTCTCGCTTGTAAAGTGACAGAGTGCTTCTGGCCTTGCCCTCCTGTTTGTCTCCCTTTTTATTCGAGTTTGGCTACGATGTTAACTGGCACCATAATTCTGAAAGGATTGGGGCACGGAGCTGTCACAACGGGGCCAGTTGGATGCCGACTATCACCCTGGTCCGCGACATCACAGCGACAACTACGCTCCTCGTCCGGATGGAAAGCCACCAAGTGCACGACAGGCCGCCACCACACCAGGGACGCAGAACTCAACGCCCAGAGCCGGAGAGTGTTAGGAAGACAGTTTTGGAGATCACTGTCACCCCAAATCACGCGTTCTTAATAAGTATTAATGTCACATGGCAGGTTTTGGTTTGGGGGTTTTTTTGTTTTTGTTTTTTGGACTGTGCCGCGGCTTGCGGGTCGTTCCCCGACCAGGGAGTGAAGCCGGGTGGCGGCTGTGAGAGCCCAAGATCCTAACCACTGGGCCACCAGGGAACGCCCACATGGCAGATTTTCAATGAAACATTTCAGCCACATAATTTAGCTCAAATATGTAAAAAAGGACAAGGTGAAACCCCAGGTTTACTACTGAGCAGGTGGTAGATAGAGCAATAGAATCTAGAAGACGTCCCTCTAATTGCACGCGGCAGACCCTTGGATTATCTCATCTCCGTGCCTATTTCCGTGCCTAGCAAAATGCCTGGTATCCTGCTTACTTCATAGGGTTGTTGCTGTTGAAGTGTGAGGGTACCCTTCAAAAGAGATGCTGG